CCACACCCACATCCCACACCCACACCCCACACCCGCACCCCACACCCACACCCCACACCTACACCCGCCACACCCTCATGTAATAGCCTTTCGTTTTAATCTTTTTTCGTGCATTTTAGTCTGGAACAAATAACTATGAAACAAAAAGAAAAGGTTGATACAATCTTTTTATGATTTTTATTTCTCTGTTAGAGAGTTTCTTTGTCAATGTTAACTTGTTTGCAGTACTACTTCAAGTTTCTTTTGGGATGTGAGTGAGTGTGGATATGGGTAAGTGCAAATTTGAGTTTTGTTGTTGCTGTCCGCATTGGTATGGCTGTGGCTGTGGGTCAGGGTGTCGAGTAAACAACTATACCCACACCCTTTTGTCCGATGGTCATAAAACGACAGACTTGGGTGTCAGTGTGGGTGTTGCTGTAACTGAACAGAACATCCACCCGACACCAATCCACACACAAGAAAGTTAATTGCAACTAACAAGACCAAAAGCAGAAAAAGAATAAATACTGGAACACTAAAAGCGTTGTGACAGAATCCCGATTACTCTCTATTTTTCTTTTACTTTGTCAGGACTACATATTTGATTATATATCATGTTTTCATAGACATGATTAAATCACAAAAGTATTATTATTTGAGTTGAAAATAATATGATACTTGGTTGGTCGTGATTTGTAACTATTTCTCCGGCCAACATTCGAAGATATTTATCATGTTTAGTAAATTTTTATTCAAACAAGATTAGCATGAAGAAACTTGTGACATCTCATTTCTTTTGACGTCAATGAATGCTTTGTACGTCATGAGACACGAAGGCGAGCGAATAATGCAGAGCTAAGCTGTTTCTTATGTTTCTAATAGTTGTGTCTGATATTATTTTGCATACTGATATTTCTGCTAATATTGAGCATCCACAATGGATTAAAAAGATGGAGGGCTCTGGATGAAATCTTTGCCTCTTTCATGATATTTCTTTCTCAGTAGATCCAATCATTGTATACGGAAAATGAAAGAATTCGTTCAGATATCTCTTTGAAAATTCTACTGTCTGTAGCTGAAAATTGAGTGAAATCTTTGAGAAATGCAAGAAATATACTATTTAGTCGTTGGCGTGCCAGTATGACAAAAAAGTTTATTAAATATTTGCAGAATGGAAATAATAAATAATGTTAGAGATTTTCTTGGAACGAGGAAATTTATCGATTTCCAGTAGGTAACGAAGTTTCACAGAAGAGCGGAAATGTTTTCAGGTAATATTGGGACATGTGAACGTTAGTCTCCATCTCACAAAGTCGTCGTACAAAAGTTTTTAAGCTTATAACTTTCTGGCACATTGCGTGTAGAAACTTGTCGAGACTTACAGCTGATAAGGATTAGAATAAGTTCAAATTAGTTTTATTCCAACAAGTATTTGAACTAATAGCAGCCTAATTCTATGCAACCAGTTTATTTTGAGACATTTGTTGAAAGACTTTTCGAAGCATCTTTGAATAGAACATCTGTATTATTCGTCGCAATCTAGAGTTATTGATAAATGTGCTCAAATTCTTTGAAACATATCGGTTAAAAGTGGAGACCGTGTCATTAAAAGTGCAGCTGGAAATCTTTTTTTCCTTTTCTTTCACATTAACTAAACAATCAGATACTCTTTAGACAAAAATAAAATGTGCGAAATAGCCTATAGGCTTTGAGTAATGTTCAATAAAATATATTCTGAAAACATTTGTTAACAAAATGAATATCCGTAGATAACCTGCTAGTATTCATATGTTGAGAGTACATGGCAACAATATTCAACCATTTATTCATGAATTTTCTGTCAATCGTAAAAGACTTTGAATGAGTACCTCAACACAAATCGATTGCGTTAAGTTAGTCACGCTATATGGCTCAAAAAAACATACTGTAATAGTGAGTCGATTGCATCTGATTTGAAACGTTCTTCCTTCATTTGTGGATAGGTCCCATATAAGTCAAACACAATTGAGAATTAGAAAAAATTGCGGGACAGACTCTGTGAAGATTCAAGGCAGAACGCTTTTTCGAAAGTCAAAAGAGGTCAGAAAAAATTGGCTCCTGAAATCAGATCTCCGAACAATGGGACAGGATGGATAGCGACAAAATATCAGGCAGGACGAGTATTTGTTTCGTGTAGGTCTCATAGATAGTATATTCGTGACTAACTAGACTTCTTCGCACTTCTTAAATATGGGTGCAAAATTAATAATCTTTTGGAAAAGATCTCGATCGTTTCTAACAACTTCTGCTATACCATACACATAAAAAGAGATACAGTATATTTTTTCTTGGCACATACTACGCGCTTATGCTATCGAACGATGCACTTTCTTTCGAAAAATAAATGATTGTTCAAAAAAGTTTAGTTATTCAGTTAGATACTTCGTCAAATAAAGATTTGCAATACTTGTTTGTAATTTTCAAAAGACCGAAGCTATCTGATGCATGCTTCATCCTC